GTTTGATGTCACTACTTCTCTATAAAGATGTCCAGTACCTTCCTTTTGCTTAGGTTGATGGGACCAATGTGGTAGGGCCAAACAGCAGTTTGTAGTCTAAAGAAGCTAAACCTTCAATATTGGACAACTTTTTCAGGTGATGTTGAAAAATGGTATAAATTTGGTCTATATTTCTTTGTTCTTTTGTGTATTTTTTTGTTTCATTTTTGTTGAGGTTTTTTCCCCCTTCAGAGCTGGCAGGGGGGGGGTTGTTAGCTGGGTCGGGTCAGAGCTGGTGGGGGGTCGTGAACCGGGTCGAGGGGAGCAATGCGATACCTGAAGATGGGGGTCGTCGGTCAGAGCTGCAGGGGTGTGTCCCACTTCAAGTCCACTCCCACCGTCCACTGCACCTGCGCACGGCACCTTGGCCAGTCCCAAAGTTCAGAGCTGGTGTGGGGGGGGGTGCATCGCCAGCCGGGTCGGGTCAGAGCTGGCGGGGGGGTGGTGTCACGAACTGGGTTGGGAAGAGCAATGCGATACCTGAAGATGGGGGTCGTGGGTCAGAGCTGCTGGGGTATGTCCCACTTCAAGTCCACCTCTACTTTTCGTTTTAAATAAATCAAAAGAACTCTTGGATGAATATAGTGAGTTACTATATTTTACAAGGACTTCACCTGCACAGGAAAGCTTTTAGGTCTGTGACCTCTCCGTGAAGTATTTTTTCTCTAATGCCCTATTTCAACTACAGATATTATTCACTCGCAAAGGAGCTACTTTGTTAGGCTTATAATGTTCAAATCTCCCATTTTCTTACTGATTTTCTGCTTGATCTGTGTGCTGATATTCAGTCCCTAACAAACTATAGATTTTTCTGCTTCTCATTGCTGTTTTATAGCTTTTTCTTTATGTATTTTGAAACTATGTTACGTGGTAGGTATGAGATGTGAATAATGGCATTATTTCTCTTTCTCATAGGCTATTATGCACCATGAGGGCCACATGGATGATGGCTTAAACTTATCTCGGTCTCAGCATGAAGAATCTCGCACTGCCCGAGTCATTCGAAGCACAGTCTTCCTTTTCAACAGATTTATAAGGTGTGTTTTCTTTTTGTCATGGTGGTTATTTGATAGCTTATTTTCATTTCTTTACTGATTTTTCAGATAGGCAATTTAGAAGTGTACTATGGCAATTGTAATAAAAATATTATTCCAGTAAAGTAACATGATAAATTTCATAGCTTTTGATAGTTTCACAGGAAAACATTAGAAAGTACTAGTTAGATGATTTTACATTTTTTTAAAAAAGAGAAACTTACAAAAGCAAGTTTTAAGACATTTTCCAAGTAACTTGCAATTCTAAATAGCAAGGATGGTGGTGGCAATGATATTTTACAGTGTAACTTGGGCTAGCCCTGTTAATTCATTATCACAAATGAAAACCACGTAGCCCAGATGGATGTTGAGTTTTGAATTGTATCAAAAAGAGACAATATCTTTGTGTGTGCACAGTTGAAACAGTAGCATATTTACTGTCAAAACTAAGGTTTTGGTCAAAATTCTTTCTGTTAATATAATGTTAATTTTCATTCTGAACTAGAAGGATGTCATCGATTTTAAGCTCTCCTAAGTTGGTGAGGAAAAGAGGGGAGTGAGAAAGGGGACAGGGATGTGTGTGTATCAATATGGACATGAGCGGAACAGTGGAGAACAGATGCTGTAAGACTCTCTCAGAGATACTCTAAGCTTAGTATGGAGTCTGTTCTCAAGATCTACTTTTAGTGCACAAAATTGAAGGAAATTACCAGGTGCCTTACTCATAGCAGCATGATACTAAAAGGTCTGCTATTATTCAAAAGCAAAGAAGAGCAGATAAAAAGAGAAAGAAACTAGAGTACTTGAAAGGGAATAAATTGAGTGCAAAATCTTGACACACTGTAATGAATGTAAGTAAAGTCATTTTAGCAACTAATGGGAGCTTTGATGGCCTGGTTATTGCTATTGTTATGTACCATGGCGTTGGAGCGACCCATAGATGACCCTCTAGCAGGTTTCAGAGGCAGTAAATTTCACAGGAGGAGATGACCCATCCGTCTCCCCTGGAACAGCTGGTAGATTCAGACCATGTGTTTTTGGGATTGCAGCAGCACCTCTGATGGTTCAAATTCACCAACAACTCTGTGGAAGCAAGATGGACCATCTCCTCCTGTGCCGTTTACAACGTCCAAAAACCTCCTGCGCTGAGGCAGGTCTCACCAGACAGCAATGAGTTGTTTTATTGATTTTTTTATATTTGTGTGTGCACACTTATATTTAATCAAGGAATAAGGGATATAATATTTGGCATCATCACATCCTTATCCAGTTTCTATGCATGTGAACAACAAGCCTCATCTGATGAAATCACACTTAAAAATGGGATAAACATTAGATTTTTTATATTGGATTTATAGCTTGTTTTAAATATTTCTTATTATGGAATTTTATTTAGTATTCATTGCTTGTACATATCCAACTCAACACCTCAAAATATTGCCCTTGAATCAGAACTGGCTGATAGCTGACCTTCCAGCAGATTTTTAGAAGCTGTAAATCACGTAGAAGGAGTTTGCCCATTTTTCTCTCTCATAACAGCTGATGGATTGAAACTGCCAGACAGGTGTCACCTTCAAATTAACGCTGTGTCTCCCTAGCAAGGACCAAATGCACTAATTCTGATTTCTACCAACTTTTACAGTCGGAGATAGATTGAACATGCAATCAAGATGCATTGATAATAATGGGTGACTGGAATGCAAAAGTTGGGAA